CCGGCGGAGCGACGGAGACAGCACCTGGATGCATATCGTTCCGTCCTTTAGAAGACGCGGACAACTCCTCTCACAGAACGCTGGGTCTATTTATATATAAGTCTATGGGCGGGAACTAGCAGTCCAGGTTTATATAGTCAAAGTACTCAACATGTTTAGGGAGCGGACGCCATTTTTTCCATTGAAGTTTTTCTCTGCTATCTAAGCGTAACATGTTGTAAAAGAATATAGCGGCACACATATGAGAAATGTAAACACGGATAATTTTGATTTGTATGTAAGAGAAAATGAGTTCTGAAAACCTCAAAATGTATAGTGTCGTTTTTGCCATTATTCATAGCAAATAAAACAATCACATTTAAATTGTCCATTGCAAATTGTAAATTATAACACTTTATTTTTTTATAATTTGATAATATTTTGTTTTCTATTGTTTAGTTTGTTATGAATAAATACACTGAAAAGTTATGTTTAGGCTTTATTAAAAAAAACAGTGTAGGGTCACGTGACATGTTATATAGATCTAAAGCTCAAGACCGTTCAGCAAGCATGATCTATATATCACTAACGGCCGATTTCTTCATACCTCTCGATATAGCTATCCTCTGGATAAATTCCTCTGAGAACCAATAAGGAGAATCAATTTTGGAAGATATCTTCTAAAGTTATCGAAAACTTATCTAGAAGTGAAAAAATTGGCTGTAAGCGTTCACTGATCATCTGCTCAACCGCTTTGCAACTGCTGGAATCTGCTGAACGCGAACCATTGTTGTTTTTTTACGACGGTTTCCAGCCGCTACTTTCAGCGCCGGGTTCCACTTTGCGTGGAACTCGCGAACTACGAAACGAGTTCCACTTTCAGGCGCGTACGATAAAAAAATGTATCTCGGTTAGAGTCTGTGCTAAATTCACTTTCATTCGGTTTGAATTCGTGCTACATCCACTGTCGATAAGTAGAACTGCCAACCATCGAGAGGATCGGTGATGGAGGCACGCACACAAACGAAACCGTGTCCGTGTGCGTGACGTCTTGAATGAAAGTGGATCTAGCACGGACTCTAACCGAGATATATTTGTATCGTATGCGTTTGAAAGTGGAACTCGTTTTCGTAGTTCGCGAATTCCACGCAAAGTGGAACCCGGCGCTGAAAGTAGCGGCTAGAAACCTTGTCGTAAAAAACAACAATGGCGTGGCCGCTCTCAGTCTTCTCTCTGGCCTTACTACCTTCATTGTAGACTAGCCATAAAAGAGCCAAAACTGTGAACACTGGTCTAGTTTCCACCAAAGCATTAATTCACACCAAATGCGACGTAGAATCAAATTCAAGTCGATGGAAACCTGTCAAATTGTGCTGATTTCACTTCCGCTTCGATCTATAAGTACTCTACTTCCAATGGAAACAGAGCACTAAATTTGATCAGTACCGGAGTGAAACCGAATTGAGGGTTTCGGTGGAAACTAGACCACTGTTTTTATCAGTCGCTTGTCGCACGTCAGATCGATTGGTCAATGCGATTGGTCAATAGATCGATCACGGTCGCTTTCATTGGGTGCGTTCAGACAACTCAACGGTTGAGAGATCATCACTTATGATAGGACTATTCTTCAAAATCTGAAGCGGTTCCAAAAGTATGATCCAATCAGAAGTGATTATCTCTCAACTGTTGCGCAACTGTTGAGTTGTCTGAACGCACCCATTGTTTTTCATTGAATATGGAACAAGGACAGAATAAGTTTTGTGTCAACTTGTGTCGCTTAACTTAAAAAACGTCTTGGCATGCAACGATTTGGCATGCTCATTAATAATTTATGAGATTGGAGATAATAAATTGTTGAGATTTATCCAATCAGAGAAGAGTTTTTATCAAGTCGAGAAAGTTCGTTTTGTACTGATTGGTTGAATTCTAGTCTAATGCGATCTTGAACGTTGCCACGTGCAGAAGTTTAGTTGAGTTGGAGACAGGTTGGTGCGTGCATGGAGCGTTTGTTTATATGGCCGTTGATTGTATATTTGAAATGTTGCAGTAAACAATTACAAGTCCATTGACTATTTCCATTTGAAATACGTTGTCTCGTGCAAAAGATATTTTGAAAAAGAGCATTGGTGAATTCGATTGTCACGTAACACATATGCGGAATATGTGATATCTTTTGTTCAGTCTCTGGATTTTCGGTGTTAGTATTCGTGTCTTCCATTTTTTTGAGAGACATTATCAGTAATTTCTGTAGATATTTGCAATCGTCAGTAATTCATCTTATTATCATTAATTTTATATTTTTATACGCGTATATTTTCGTGCGTGTATGTGCGTGTGTGTGTATGTACATATGTGTGTATTTTATTGTTGCTACAAATCTTATATTTTCTACTTTCACAGAAAAACAAAGTTGACACACGATGGTTGCTAGCAAAGAAGTTCTTCTAAAAGCCCAAGAGATAAAGAGACGTTTGTTAAGTAAAGGAGAGCATGCTGAAGAATCGGTGATATGCGAGCTTTTAGAGAGTTTGGATTCAAATTTTAAAGGGAATAAGATAGAGCATATTATTAACATGATCATAGATAATCAAGATTTTGATGATCAGACATATGAAACTGATCAGACATATGAAAGCGATCAGACATATGAAAACGATCAGACATATGAAAACGATCAGACATATGAAAATGATCAAACATATGAAAATCAAGCAGGACCGTCTCATGTAGATACTACATACTCGTCCAACACACAAAATTCTTCTATGGATTATAAAACATACGAAGACTCAAATCATTTGTCCTCAGAGTCTGACGATGATAGAGACTTTTATTATTCTAATAATTCTGACACTGTCGAAATTATCGATGAAGAAGTTTTGAATTCATCTCCACCTCCAGCATCTCCTATACTTCCAATATCTTCATCTTTTCCTTCAGTTTCTTCCTCAGACCTGCCTGTTAGTAACCAAGAGGAAGCTACTAACAATAACAAAGCTGAGATTGTCAACAATAATACTTCGAATGAGATAGAAATGGAAGAAAATAATAATGATGTTGTTTGTGTGACTTCGGTTTGCGAGACAAAGAGAGAGGCCGAGAGTCCAAAGCCAGGGTGTAGCAAAGATCTGATAAATGACATGTCTTCGGAGTCGGATGACTTTTGCAATACTTGCAATTTTGAAGATTTACAAAAAGACGCAAAGCAAATACACAACATTTTGCCCAGTTATGATTACTCTTTGATTTATGAGACATTACTTAAGAATCAGAATGTAATCAATCGTATTGAACTCACGCTGTGGGATTTGTTACCTGAGAAAAGACCAGTGGCCAAAATTTTGTGTTCCAAAGAAAAATCTTTGGACAAGGTAGGTCCTGATAACAGTAATGAGATTAAAGTTGCAGCAGATACGGTGTCAGTTCCTGTTGCCAAAAAAGCAACAAAGATCAATGATATTAATATTGTGAATACGGAAATAACAAAATTAAAAGAAAGGGTTAATAACTTGAAAGAAAAGTATAATATATCAAAGAGAGTGCTTCAAGAGCAAGGACCGGACTCGACAAAACCCACGCTGAAGAAATTGAGATGTACTGCAAATGACCTGGGTATATTACGACCTGCAAAGTTGACATTTGATAATCCAATACCAATTCCAGCGCCGTTAGATAAACAACAACAATTATTTTTGCCAACATCTCTACCATCTCAAAACCTATCTCTACCTCAACCTTTGTCCCTATCACATATACCATCTTTATCATGTCTATCATCTCTACCTCCGCAACCGGAACAGATGTTAATCCCTTGTTTTTCTGAAAGAAAGTTCAAACAAGTTTTATCACCTCCAAAATTACACTTGCCAAAACAACCAGATCATGTTACTAGTACATCAGCGAACACATCAAAAGCATTCGTTCCGTTGAATCACATAAATACTATGATCTTTATGAATGAATACAAGAAAAACGTTATGGACATTCTCGAAAAAAAACAGCCCGCTGCAGCGACTGCAAGTAACGAAACACTGTGCGAAACAAGAGAAGCTATATGGAAGCCATATTCCATAGAAAACGGTTATCTTCCGAGCAAAAAAAAATCCGAAAAAATCTTGAACCTAAAGACGGTTCCGAGATCTCTAAAGCTCTCACCATCTAAGAGAGCAAAAGATATGCCTATCTTAAACGCTTCTCATTCGTTTAATAGTGATAACGAGGTGCATCAGGAAGAAAACAATGTTGACGTACTAAATATTTCCGATACGAAAGACAAGGTAAGCAGACGAGATGCATGGTTATTTGTGCAAGTTACCCATAATACGACCAAGTGTTTGTCAAAGTGTAAATTTAAATTTACCGCGTTTTGAATTGAAAGTAACGCCTCTTCTTCGAAAAGAGGGGAAATCCCTTTGTACCTGTTGAACAGTACAGTTGTGTGCGTATTGCATGCGTTTACGTTACAAAGAACGTGTGTGCTGTTGTGTCATCTATTTGTTTCTGAGAAACCACTACTAGATATTTCATGAATCGCGTTATTTCTTAATATACGTGTATAGAACTGCTGTGTAAATAAAATACTCAATGTAACGATTTTCATCGATTTTTTGCGTTCGATTAGTTTCAAGAGGATCGCACAATGTTGGTCCGTCAAAGAGCTACGAAAAAGGTTTTTTTTTGTACTTTTTTCAAGCTATATTATTTTTAAAAACTATGTCGTATATTACGTATACTACTCTTGTATATTGATGACTATCAGATTGTGTTCTTTTTGTATATTATAATACGAAATGACACGTGGCAATATAATATCAGTATATATGAGTGTACATAAGGAACTGACCTTGAAAAATGTGCTATATATATTGTCACTTATACATTTATAGTTACAATAAATGGAGTTCTCTGTATTGTGTTTTTGCTTCCTTTAACAAAGCAAATAACTAAATAGAAAATCTCAATTTGAATATAAAATTGATTGTTTGTGTACAAAATGATTTACTTATTTGTCTTTTCAGGAAATTGTGCGTCACGAACAAACAAATCAAGCGAAAAGAGAAAATGCAGCAAGCACTAGCGCTTCAAAAGAAATAGTATTAGGTCAGAGAGCTTGCAAAATTTATTATAAATTAATACCTATGTTTCCAACCGTACAAACTGAATACATAAAACGTGTGTGTCAAGCTTACGATGAAAAGGATTTGCAGTTCGATGAAACATCAACAGTACAACGTTTAGTTGAACATTTGCTCGAGTATGGCAAAGATTATCCAAATGTTAGAAAAGTTGAGCCCGTTGCGGCTCCCAACACTTACGATTTGAACGAACAGTATGCCGATTTGTTGGGGATATTCCCGGAAGCTGATCCGGGTTATTTAAGAGAAAAAGCTGAACAGATATATAACGATCCGGAAAAAATCAAAGAGTTTGTTCAGAACCAATTGGAAAACCGAGATTATCCAACAAGACAGCAGTCTCTGACAAAGAAAAAGATTACGGATCAGGTGAAACAGTATACCATAGATTTTCAAGTAGAGCGATTCTTGGAGATATTTCCCGATCCATTTTCTTACTTTGAGGATGAGAAGAGACAATGCAAGTTTAATCCTCACGGAGCGGATTTTCTTAAGAATCATTTCAGTAAGATACGGGTAAGTAACTTCTTTTCATTCTTTTTTCTTCTTCTTCTTTTTCAGCGCTAGATTCTGTGGTAAACCGTCTTCTACATAATAACTTTCTTTTATTATATATTTGTTTTATTTTTTTTTTAAGGTAAATACAATGTTAAATATATATACTCAGAATAAGCACAACTTAAGTTTGACCGCGAAAGCTTTGGAACACTTGAATCCTGATATGAAAACTAGACGATACAGCAGTAACAGACACGTGCTGACTATAGATATTCCTCTTTTGCAAGAATGTGCCTTTATACAGCACAAAGAAGAACTTAGGCTGTATCTAGCACAATTGAAAGAAAAAGAAGAAAAAGAATTCAATGAAATGAAGGTACGTCTAAAAATAGAATAAAATTGTGAAAACACTTTTTTTTTTTTTTTTAAATACAGAAGATATTTCCTATGCATTGTATTTTTTTTCTTTCAGGAAAAAAAAGAACTGCTCGAGTGTCAGTGTTGCTTCGACAACGAATGCATGCCATCAAAATGTTCCACGTGTGAAGATGGCCATATCTTTTGCAATACGTGCATTATCCGAAGCACGGATGTGATATTAGCGGACGGCAAGACGCACGTTAACTGCTTAATGAATTGTGGCAGTGAATTTCCATTGGCCGTACTTCAACGAGTATTGCAACCAACCAAATTCAGCATTCTTCTTTGTAAACGGCAAGAAGCGGAAGTGATGGCCGCTGGATTAGAAGGATTGGTGTCCTGTCCGTTTTGTCACTTTGCATCAATACCGCCACTGGAAGATAAGGTGTTCAAGTGTCTCAATCCTGATTGCATGAAAGAGTCATGTCGGTGAGTTTCTATCTTGCAATCGTTTGTATTGCCGCAAAATTTTCTCGGTTCTTTTATTTCGTGAAAAGAAAATACCTTAAATTTATGAAAGGACTTCAGAAATATTTTTACTTTACTAATGCTTATCAGATATAAACACACAGAGTTGTTTATAAAATAAAAATATACTATTATACGTTTTGGTATTAGATTATGCAAGGAACTGAGTCATATACCTCTGAAATGTAACGAAGTAAAAAATACGGACGCCGCACGCTTGTACCTGGAAGAAAAAATGACCGAAGCTCTGGTACGGAAGTGCTGGAAGTGCGGGCGAACATTCTTCAAGGAAGAGGGATGCAACAAGATGTCCTGTATGTGTGGCGCGCAAATGTGTTATATTTGTGATAAACCGGTAACCGATTACAAGCACTTTCAAGGTCAAGGAGGAGCAGGAAACTTGTGAGTTTTCTGTGATTTGGTCCTCTTCTGTAAGCCAGTCGTAAATTACGTTTTAAAACTTCTTTTTTTTTTTTTTATGTAGGTGTCCGTTGTGGAGTGATGATCGTCGTTTGAACGCCGAATCGGTAATTAAAGTATGCAACGAGACACTGAAACATATTAAGGAGAAAAATCCTCAAGTCGATATAAATGTTACTGCCCTTCTGCCAAAGCTACCGCCCAAGAGAAGAGGTCCTCATGAAGAAATTGCTCGTGCTGATATACTCCCGGTATGTATAAAATATAACGTACAACCTAAACATTTATTCGGGCACGTATATATCGACAATTGAAAACCAAATTATTTGTTTTCAGGAACATGCAAACAGGATTGTGAGACAAATTCCTTGACTCTATTAATATTGAAAAAGAGAAAGGTACATGGTACTAAAAAAAAGACCATTTTATATTTGCAATCAAAATCCTATATAATATTGTTACACATACACTTATACTTTACGCGTATACTTAAAAATATCTCTATTTTACTGATAATAATATGATGATATATAATATATAGAGATACAAGTAAAGACTTTGTTAAGAACTATTCGAAGCACAAAACGCGTGTTGCTTCTTTATACTATTACTATTACTATTAGTATTGTAAACCAAAGGTTTACTTACTAGTCTTGTACAATTACATATTTTTGCGCTAGATGAAAAAGTACAACACAATAAAAGAGAAATGTGATTTTGGGTTGAAGTGTTGGGTGCAATAATAATATACACACACACGCGCGCGCATGTGTCACAAAATAATTTTGTTGAGCAATAATTCTGAAAGAAATGAGCTCAATAGTCTCTCATCCGATGTTCTCTTTGTGTTATTACAATTGCAACAATACTTTGTAACAAGTTGGAGTTATCCTCGTATTTTTATGATAATTATATTATTTAAGTTTGTATAAGAGAGTGCGTACGTTGTCTCAATGTTGGTTGTGTAAGGTGAGTTTTTTTTTGTTACAACGCGTGTCTAGAGAGTATACATTTTTAATCATAAATAAAACAGCCTTCAAACAGATGTTAAGTCTGCGGCACACAATGATGTTTCTTTTTTTTTTATTTATTTATTTTTTTTTTTTGAGTGCTAGATCGCATACGGGCAAAGAATGAATTGACTATCAATTTGATTTGGAATCAAAGAATTGTCAAATCGTCGTAATGCTCGCGCGCGATTCAGCACTAAAACAAAGCTTCATTGTGGGCTTTTGTATTATCACATAAACAAGCTGTCTGTATAATTTTCAAGGAACAGTGAAAAAATAGAGCTTTACCATTTGTATGTATTTCCGAAAATTTGTCACTTGAGGCTGAAATAAAATATTTTTACTACATACGCTATTGAGATGTTTTTTAAAATTCCCACTTTTTGATCATTAATATCAGTGCACATGTGTCAATTTTGTCACGTGTTCCGCCACATACGCGCCACCATTTAATAGGTATTCTCTGCTTTATCATGCTTGCTGTACGAGTGTTTACGATGTTTATGATCCTATTATGATTTACTTTAACTAAATTGCGTTAGTATTAAAAAAATTGTTTGAGTAGAATTAAAAAATGACGTTGTATCATTTTGGAAATTGCTTGGCGTTGGTATACGTGCCGTATTATTTGGCCTACAAGTATTCCGGCTTGTAAGTATCTTTGATCTTAACCTAACCTAACGCGGGTACATGATTTTAATTTTCTTAAAAACTCTGAATGAAAGTGGCGATTAATCAAACGAAACAACGTTTGCACAGATCGGAATACGGTGCTTTCTGGAAATGCATTCAAGCCGGTGGGATTTACATCTTCACTCAACTCGTGAAGATGTTAGCGCTTGCTACCTTTTTCCCAACAGGTGACAGTGTCGAGGGAGAGAGCTTTGATGTCTTTGGAGTATGTATTTTTTAGTATGTATTTTTCAGATTTTTTTCTGAAACGATGTATTTTTTTTTAACAGAATCTATATGGTTTCAGGAATTTTTAAAATCATCTATTGATCTAGCGGATCTGGTAGGGATTTTACTGGTGTTAAATAGCATACCTGGCAAGGGCCACGCCAAGGTATTGACTGCTGGTATAGGATGGGCAGGAGCAGAAGTATTGCTTACGAGATTCTTATTGCTTTGGGTTGGGGCACGTGGTGCTGAGTTTGATTGGAAGTACATTCAAAAGAGTCTAGAATCAAACATTAATCTGGTAAGCATTACCTATGTGTAAAAAAGTTAAAAGCCACTGTACAGAAATTATTGGAAGGAAAAAACTTCTTCAGCTGTATCATGAAAATTATGAAGCATTGTTTTAAACTAATGTTATCTCTGTCCAATAGGTGCAACACATAACGACAGCTGCGTTGGTTTGGTTGTGGTCTAGACACGACTTACAACGCAGTTTATTTCCCATTGTTGTTGGCATGCTCATTCTCACAGTGTATAAATCGCTTGTATTGGATTTTCTCACATCAATTTTGTTAACTGGCCCGTGGTGGATGCTCGTTATCAAAGCGATTACCACGTTATTTATGGGAGCGACGACGTTGCAAATTTATGCGGGTCTTGCTCATTCAATTGGAATTTTCTAAATAATATATAAATACATGTGTATATTTATTTATTCACGTGCCGATTGTATAGTTATTACCATTTGTCTGTGTTTCCCATTTCTATTTTTCAACAATAACGTACTTTTTATCGTGTACGTTAAACAGTTTCATGTATTTGTATATTACCTTCTTATGTTTGTTTATATCATTTGTTGCATACAATTTTTCATTGTGTGAATTAAATTCTTCCTACAATTTTTAACGCATAGGATTTTATTACGACGTTAAATGCTATGTTAAATTATGCTGATTTCGTCAAAAAATAAATTGTTCAAGTCGTGTATAATTATATATATACAAATATATTGTTTATTTTTAGTAATAAATTTTTTTTATATTCTCTGTTATATAATTTGTTTTGAAGTAGGATTCTGCTGTTTTAATTCGCAATTTAGAACGTTCTTTCAAGGAACAACGAAAAAAACATTTATCTTCTGGACTTATTCTACACACACAGCTTTTTTTGCGGTTAATGAACAACGGTGACCGCAGATCTGTACGTAAATGGATATCTACTGTAATGTGATATAATCATTTTAGGACAGAGTTTGCTAATAACAAAGACCTTGTATGTTTTGGGATCTCAAAGCAAGATAGAAATCAAAAGAGAAATTTGTACTGCGTAAGATTTTGATTTTTTTTCGCTCATTATTCTCAAGACAAAGTTTCACATTGCGTCACTAATAATATATATTAATGTTGAAATAATTTTTGTTTTGTAGGGAGGAAAATTTACGAGGTTTTACGGCCATGAGATCTAATTAAAAATTTATATAAACATACATACATGATCTTGAAAAGTTAAATTAGTTTCTGCGACTCATTGTTGAATAATTGATGCTGAACAAAACGTGCTTACAGCTGTTCAAAGAAAAACGTGACTGCAGTCTTGAATTTCGTTTTGCTGTAGTCTGCTAGATCATGCATGACCCCTATCACGCATCGGAATAACATTTATCACGCAAGATACACGTTTAATGTACTTTCCTCTTATTATCAATAAGACTTTGTGAAGTTTCTTGACGTAGGTATGTTCAGAAAAATCTAGTGTCTCGTAAGATATAATTATTTATCACAATATTATTATGAACAATATTTATTCGATATCTTGTAAATACGAAGAATAATCTCTCGTCGCTTCTATGAATTTCTTATGAAATTTTTGATATCTCTATTGGAAAATTTTAGATCTTACAATTTACAGCGTGAAACTGTCTTCAAATTTAAAAAAATAATTTGTTTGGTGAATTTCATCTTCGCGTTTATTCGCCCTGGAACAAGCGGATTTATTTCCAACTTTCAGTGTACGAACAAACAGAATGATCAATTATTTGACAAAATTATCACTAGACAAGAGCGAGGTGTGTGTGTGCGCAGGTATTTTTATTATTTATTATTTATTGAACAATTAGACATTTCTTTTTCACAAATTGCATAAATCTCTTAAATATTTTTAATTAAACAAATATTTTGTTTAATATTATATTTTACTTTTTATTAATTGAAATACTTGTATTTCAGTGTTCCTATGTAATATAAATATATACATATACGCACACGTAAGCGTATTCTTTTTTTTATCGATACAAATTGCAGTTTTCATCAACACGAGCTTCATTTCGAAATCAAACCAAAACAGGTTCCAAAGTTCACGTTTCGTCTATGTGTTGCTTCACGTACTAGATTGTACACGTGATGTAATAACCCGGCAGGTCAAGACATTAATGATCCGGGCGCGTCTCCTTATTCAATTCGCAATGACGCCGAATGCGCGTGTGTCTGAGTGATAGTTTGCCAAACGATTACGTGAAAATGGGAAAACAACTTTGTTGGACTTTGAACGTACGCGCTAGTTTTAATCAGACGTAATGTGTGCAATTTATGATCTTAATCAAATGAGATTTATAACGTCATAGCGGAGCGCGGTAAGTCATCAGGATCATCACATGTATGTCACATATAAATGTTGTACATTTAATTGAGTCAAGGGAATCGATTGAATGTTCAAAAATCTCTTCGTCAGGTTCGAGAAGTTGCGAAAAAAACTTCGCGAGAAGCAAGTAGGTCAACATCGGACAATTACTAGACGCAATATGAGCGACGACAATTAACGTATGATTACGATATTTCACGAAGAATCCGAAGAATTCACACACGGTTTTTCCCTGTCGTATCTTCGCAGAAAAATTCGCGCGGATAAATGTTCACTTCAAGCGATATTTTGGCGATTTACACGTTACAAGAGGAAAACTGAATTGTTCGGCGCGTACGTTTATTCAATATCGCACGTGGTGGAGGGGTCAGCTGATCTTCTATTGGTTCGTCATGGAGTTAAGAGTGTGCACGCTCGCTTTGTACGCGGATCCCGGTCGATGCTGCTAAAAGCCGCGACGGAACCCGGAGCACTTAGTCGTAGGAGAACTGTCGGACGAGAAGCTACTGTGGACGTCACACGATTTAGACGTAGCGCAATCTATTTTCGTCAGGTCGTTTGGTCAGCCGGTGTTCTTGGAAACCAGATGCTGAGAAGTTGCAGCTGAAGAGGTTCTTGCAGGAAAAGAGAAAGAGAGAGAGAGAGACGGGAGAGGAAGAAGTTTCTAGAAACGTCAAGCAACATATTTTCTTTCTGCTGCTGAAACGCGTGTCGATAGTCGGCTCGCTCTCATCGGAAGAGGGTACAGAAGTGGCGGCATAGGAAACAAATCAGAGTAAGCAATCGAGATCCCGATAGAGAAAGAGAGAGAGAGAGAGAGACAGAGGAGAGAACAGACACAAAACGGTGAGAGGCCGTATCGCCAGTTACTATGTAAATTACCAGCGGGTTTTATTTGGGCTGCGCGCGCGCACTGCCGTCTACGAGCAACGACACCGACAGCAGCGTCTCGACAACAACAAAGTCGTCATCGTCAATAGCCGCGGGTGGAAACACGGACGTCAGCGAAAGGTATACAATAGCGCGGATAACCTCGCGAACGAGAGACCTGGGCTCTTTTCTCACCGATTTCAAGGAAGCCCGCAAACTGGCTCCGGAAGTGAGGATCAAGCAAATTGGAATGAGGGAGGATCTGCTATCTATAATACGGCACACGAGCAGCGACCACTTCTCGGAAGAGCTTTAGCCGGGAGAGCTTAACCAGGAAGTAGGTGTCGAAGAAGAAGCATCAGCACACCCCCTCAGCAAGGCTGACACGATAATTCGCGGGTAGAAGTTTTATTCGCGCGATAGGGTAGAGGCGGCTCTTGCTCGTTGGCTTTTTTTCGAGCGTCCTTGTCCCGGGTTTCCTTTTGTTCCGACGATCCTTCTGGGTCGCTTTTTTCATTGACCTTGATTTCGTCGTTATCAAAAGAGAGTCGAGAGAGAGATAGAAAGATAAAGAGAAAAAACCGGGAGTATATACATCCGGTTATTCTCTGTTACACGGGAGGGTTATGCCCTGGGTCGCGGCATGTTTTGACCTGTTGGCAACTCCGTTGCTGGGTTACTGTCTAGCGGTCAGAAAACTAGCTCTGCAAGCCGGTGTTCTGCAGGAGAAAACGTCAAACGATTCCGCCGGGAAGCAGACGTCCAAGTTACTGGTGAATACCGCAACCGAAGCCGCAACCGACACCATGGTTTCCAACGCAGAGGAACAAGGTAAAGTTTGCCCACACAGATGTGAGAACTGTGTGTGTTGACGTCCGCATTATCTCTTTCGTTCCAATGTGTGTGTGTGTGTGTGTGCCTCTTTTTTCACACTGTTTATTCACAAAACAGCTTATCTTAACACAATTCAGCAACACAAAAACTTCAAAGTGAAATGTCGCGATTATATGCGTGAAAAACGACGCGGTGAGATATATAGACACACACGCACACACACACACAACTTATCGGATAAGCGTCAGGCATTTTAAGATTTGTTACATAATTCTCCAAACAACGGAGAAAATTTTTGTTAATTATTATCCAAAGATTATTGCAAATTATTTCGCAATCGTTGTGTGTCTAGACAATTCTTTTCTCTGCGAGGAGTTGTTACGTCATACTTTTTCGCATCTCGTTTAACACGCATAGTAAAACAAGTCGGTTGCGTGTAAAAAACTCATTTTTTTCAGTTTTTTTGTTCCGACGCGATGAGCAGGCAAAAACTTGGAGTTAAAAAGCAAAAAAAAAATCATTTGTATTCTATTGTTGAGCGTTTCCAGTCGAGCGAAGTTTCAACTTTCGCACACACTTGTCTATAAATCATACCATCACTTCCACGATATTTTTCTCTCGCGAATAAATGTTATGTCGCGCGTTAAGTTGCGAATTAGTGAAACCGTTTTTTTTTTTTTTTTTTTTTTTTTTTTTTTTGTTTTAGATTTGCAAGTCACGTTTATCACGCTCTACTTTTCAAAACCTTCCTCGTCAAATGTATGTCAAATGTATGCTAATGTGATTTTTCACGTGGCGCACGTTGAACGTTTCCTCGTGCTGGAAACCAGATAAAAAAAAAAAAAAAAAACGAAGGGAATGAAAAGTGAAAGGAAAAACATCGCGTTCGGATTGAGGTCGTTGTTTGCGGTATCACACACAGTGTAACGTCGAGATGTTACTTGTTTCCATACACATTGATTTGTTTCATCGTCGTTATTTCTTTCGCATAAAGTAAATTATATCATTTTTGTTACAAATATTTCGCGTGTTTTTAACGCACGTACGTGCGTTGTGCATTGTTCGCACCGACTTCTTGCGACAAGGCGGTTGGCTAAAATTACAAAGGATATAAATATACACACACGGCTCGTGAAATCAACTTGCTCTATTTTTACTACTTTTGTCAATCTGACGTGTCACGTTTTAGCGATATTTAACAATTTTTTTTTTGTTTTTTTTTATTGGCGATCTGTTTTTTCCCGCACACTACGTTATGCGTCTTGCAGACAATCGGAATTGTTATAGGTTTCATTGTGGAATATGATTCCGTGAAAAGAAATCGCGGCGCGCGCATTGTTCGGTGCTGAAAACTGAATATAATTACAATATCACGAGAATCGCATGTGTGTGTGTGTGTGTGTCTCAGAAAAATTCAAATATAAGCAAATATATTGCTTTTGTATGTACAACTCTTGCTTATTCTACAATCTACCCGTCGTACACATTCCACTTTGCAGTAATTGAGTTTATTAAATCGACTAATTGATTCGATTAATTTTCACATTGAAAACACTAGAATAAAGCAAACAAAATTTATTAAAAACAAAAATCCTCTGGTAGCGCACAAACTAAATGATAATTTATGATATGTGCATATATATATATGTATACGTACATTGGAAAGCTGAATATATTACGTGCTCGTAAATATTACGCATCGGTGACACGATAAATCCGGTATGTTCGAATTAATCGTCATCGTCGTCGTCGTCGTCGTCGTCGTTGTTGTACATATCTTCAATTTATCATCGCGCGAAACGACATTGAGAAATCGATAACTTATCGAAATAAACCGCCAGAAACCGAATCACGTCGTTTATCTTCCGAAATAAGCCAACATTATTACACACGTACAGAGAGTTCAAAAAATTGTGTTGCAAATTTTTCTTTTTTATCCACAAAAAATTTGTAAGAAGGTCGCGCGATTGTTACACCGAGATTTTACTTAATCCGCGAGGCGAACAAGCAAACAAACAAACAATGCATCATGCATGAGTCAATATAAAAAGTGTTTTCCAACATAAATAAAAACAACAAATTGATTGCATCTGGTTTAACGTTATGCGTGTAATAATTGATAAAGATATGAACTTTATCTATTATCTCTCGATACGCTTCGCGATTAGATAATACGAATTGTCGGATTACAAAAAAGAGTCGGTGCGTTATCGTTTCCATCATCAGAGACGTTAAAAAGAGATAAGGTTTTTTTTTTCGTCCAAACGTATATAAAACTTTCGTATCGGAAAGTCCTTTCGAGCTGTTATTTTCGTTTTATTTGTGGTTGGGAAATTATTGTTTCCCAACGCAACACTGTAAAGTCATCAACTTGGTGAGAACTTTGTTGCTCCACTTGAATCACAAAATATATTCGCAGTTTTTTTTTTTTTTTTGATACAAAAAATTTGAACACGCACGCATCGCGAAAAAAACACGCGATAAGATGCACATGGCACATTCACGGGATTGAGAGCAATGATAAAAAAAAAAAAAAAAAAAACAAAACAAAAATGAATTGCGCGCATATGTGTCTTATCTTTCTTGTGCCGAACAACTGACGTTTATTGTGTAGGCGATGATCTTTTAGTCCCGGTTTGAGGACGTAAAAGCTCGAATAAAAGCAATATGCATTTGCAATTTCTAAATATAAATCCTAGTTCCTATAGTACACACATCTATGACGTGTATGTTCGATTGCTCGCGCAGGTAACGTTACAGTATTCATCGAATTTTCACGTAGTCCGTCCCAGAACGTTGGTCTTGGTATTCATCTTTTTGCCGCGTGTATTTTTTAAAATCTGTCGTTACGTATTTACGACACTTTGCGACAACGATATATGGTTGAGCAATCTCTCCGAGATCAAGTCTCGTATTTTTGAAGAAACATGTGCATTTTAGGTAAGATAATTATATTATCGTATTTAACGTGATAAGTAAAGTAAATATTGGTGTTATTCACCTTCCGTATGTCAATTGCGATTATTTTTGTGTTGTTAACAGTCTGAAACGCGGAAAAACATCGAGAGAAAAACGATGATGCACATAAATTTTTTAATTTTTATATTAAAAACTGTTTGTGCGCGATAAAATTGTTTCTCCCCCGTGAGTTGTTTTTGTCGTTTTCTCAATATTATTCTTGCAATCCGCGAATATCCTGATGTGTTATTTTTAATTTTTCTAATCGGCAATAAAAATACTTTGGGGTGTTAAATTAACAAACCGACTGCGTTGATTTGGGGTGTTAAATTAACAAACCGACGTATTTGATTAATAGTAAGCTCTTCTTGTACAATAACTTTCTCATCTTAGCCGCATGTTTCATGAAATTTTCGGTTCTGTACTCAACATTTATGAGCACACGAATAATGACCGTCATTGCAAAATTTTTTTTTTTTTTGCACATAGCAACAGAAATACTTAATGACGCATGCGTTTATAATTTGCAATTTGGAAATCGCAAGCTACAAATGCGTGTGTCATGAAGTGCTAAAAAAACTAATAAATTGCAGCAGAAATACGGTTTGCTATAAAAAAAAGTCAAACCAACGAGGAGAAGTTTATATATTCGATTCTTACCTAAGTGCCTTTTTCCGGGAACGGAGATTCTAAAAAAAACTTATAAATACACATGTTGCAAACATATTTTGCGATTAATACTATTTTTATAAAGAAACATTTCGCTACTGCGTCTTGCGGGTCCGAAGTCCGAAGTCGCGTATAGTCATGTATTGTGCAAATTGCGTGTCTATATGTGCGTGTAAGTGTATGTATATATATACATAAAATTAGTCTCATATGTTGTACACATCAGCATAGACAATATAGGGCCAGACACACATTGCCAACATCCTGCTTAATATTAATTCGTTGCGCTCAGAAAATCCTATCTCATTCAACGAAGTTCTTAGTGCACAAGTTTCTCAATGTACAAGTTCTCAGTGTCTTTTATTGTCTGTATTTAGATCCCGGTAAAGAAAAGGTCGCGACAAGAATCCCGGGAACGGCAAAATCATCGCGCAAATTCGCAGGAGTCGTCATAGCCACTTGTGGTTTACCGGCTCGTGGGAAAAGCCAAATCGGGCAGAGCCTTGCTCGTAGACTCAATTGGAATGGCGTAACCACTAAAGGTAATAAATGCAATTAAAAATGACACGTATCTCAACAAAACGTCTCCTATTGTTTTACAAATATTACATATGTAGATTTGTGTAAAACAAAAAAAAATAAATTAAAAATAAATTAAAAACAACTTAAATAAAATAATTAAAAATAAATTAAAAATAACGCGCGTGTCTTATCAAACGTTTTCTATTTTGTTTAACAAATATTGTATCTGTAGATCTACGTAAAACAATTTCTCTCGCAATTATCTCTTTCTCTCTATTTGATTTTTCTTTTATTTATAAATCTTGTTATAGTATTCCGCGTGAGTGATTACCGAAGAAAACGGCTCGAACCCCATTCTATTGAACTCTTCCGATCGGATAATACGGTAAACAACGCGCTAAGGGCTCTCGCTCGGAGGGACGCCATGCAGGATTGCGCGGCATGGCTAGCATCTGGAAATGATGTCGCGGTAGGTATTCAATGATTGACAGTAATTTGTACGTGATTACAGTTCTGAGAAGACGACAATATTATCGGACATAATATTGTCTGTTGGTTTTTTTTTGTTTCCGTTAGTTCCATTAATTATAGCAAGAGTCGTGAAAATTGTGTGACGATTAATTAGAAAACGTCATCTCTGATAGTTTTATTTTTCAGAAAATACGATATCGCACGGTTATTCTCTGGTTAAAGTCTAGAGCTTTCCTGTTTTAAGCTCCTGGACGCTATGCTGATCACGCGAACGCAACGCGCGGAGGTTTACGACTACTTCTCCGGCCAGCTCGGTTATCGCGTTCTTTTCATCGAATGCGTCTGCGACGATCCGGAAATCTTAGAGCATAACAAACAGGAGATCATCAGACACAGCGCCGATTATGCCGGTGTGGATGCCGCCCTCGCCGCGGAGGATCTGCGCCTGAAGATCGCCTTTTACTCCCGATCCTACGAGTTCTTAGACGAGAAGATCTATCCCAAGATCAGGATCGACACCGCTACCATGGACATCGAGACTTGCAAAGTGTCGGGTCACATCGAAACCAGAGTGCTCGGATATCTCGGAGACGTCAGCCTGAAATCTCACACTCTTTACTTCTCGAGAGTAAGCAATTTTGTTTCATTGTGCGCAGAACGTACCGAAGATAAGATGATATTTTGTTTTCAAAACTCAATTTTTCGTAAACTTACTTACACAGAGTGTTTTCTTTCTCCTTCTCATAATGTTTCAACAGTGTTTCTCTATTTATTTTTGAATTTTTCAAGCGAAATTTTGTAAATGTAAGTAAATTTTTGTATTGTTGCAGCACGGCGAAAGCGAATACAATGTGCTTGGTAAAGTTGGAGGCGACGCAGTATTAAGCGCCAGAGGCGAGCGATATGCTCAAGCGTTGTCAAACAAGTTCAACTCAATGCGCGTACCCGATCTTCGAGTTCTCACTAGTCGTCTTCGCAGAACCATCGCAACGGCGCGAGGCATTGAAGCTCCTCAAGAACACGTAGCTGCTCTGAATGAACTTCATGCGGGAGTATGCGAAGGCCTCTCTTACGAAGAGATGCAAGAACATTACCCGCAAGTATGTATTTGTCGACATCTGTAAACTCTATAATTATTCGAAGAATATCGATTAATTAAAACTATTCTTAGAATTTTAGATTAAAGTTGAAGTGTATGTATGTGTGTGTATGTGTGTGCGTGTGTGTGAAGCAATACATTCGAGTAATGAGTTTTTCTCAGATTTCATTTCTATCGATTTTTAAGTGACATCCATAAAACAACTGTTTCTAATGTTACGATTTGATTTCACAACAGGAATTTGCTTGGCGCGATCAAGATAAGCTACGCTATCGCTATCCGTGGGGCGAGAGCTACATAGACGCAATGCACCGTGTCGAGCCGGTGATTGCTGAACTGCAGCGATCCAACAACGTGCTTGTTGTGTCGCATCAGGCAGTTTTGCGTTGTATCATCGGATTCTTTCTTGATAAGAAACCCGAGGAGCTTCCATACATGGAGGTGCCGTTGCACACGATAATCTGTATTACCAGCCAGGGCTACAATTACAAACTTGAGTTCTTCAAGTTACCAATTGAGTGTGTCAACACGACTCGCGTCAAACCGAAGAACTGCAGCGGCGATCGTACCGCCGCGGACGCTTTGATCACGGTTCCTGCTCACTTCGATATGCCGGATCCTTGGAGAAACCCCGGCAACGGACCCACTCTTGTGCAGCAACATTAAGAGAAATGTCCTCATTTCAAAAGTAGCGTAACATACGTTTAAGATGCAAGTTTGACATTTGAAAAACATCAGTACGAGATCATTTTCAATTGATATACGATTTTGTATATGACATTATATATGTATAAAATATTTTCAATTCTGTGCGGCTTTAAAATAAGCACAGTTTATATGATATCGCTATCAAAATTTAATTATTTTCGGAGCATGATTCGTTTATAAAGAGAAATTAGATAATTAAGCAATTAGTATTTTTGTGGCAACTAAAGAGCCACAATTTTTATTTCACGTAGCGGCTTAAAACACGCGCCGATTTTTATCTATTGGTAATCAATACGTGGATAGTACATAGATATATTATAGAAACCACTTGTTCTTTTATTTGGAGATTTTCTTTGCAAAGAAATGTGCACAAATTTTTTTTAACGCGATTATCTTTGACACTGATCGTCGGCGAAGTTCTGTGTGTATTTCGGATCGACTTCGACGATAGGTCTACGACACCGATTGCTACACAATACGCCTGTTTAACAGCCGGAAGCCTATAGTTCGAGCCCTCTACGTATCGCGAAACGTGAGATAATTTTATCAGTAGTAGTTTTACAGGATTGTTCAGTCACAGTAACTCTGGCAATTCAACACACACATATGCGTCATGAATTAATTAAGATATACTATTACTCATATAATGATAAAAAAAATATACGTACACATTTGTATATAGAACGGGTGGGAATTTGATTTTGAATACTATTTGTGATAGGAAATAATAGCATGCAGATTGCTGTCTTACTGAGGCAAAATACAAGAGAAAATCGTATTTTCGTATTTTAGGCATTTTCCGAAGTTTTTCTTTTTCAAGCTATGTTAGAAAAAACTTATTCCGTAACTGTGATTGTTTTTATCAAATATATGATCTCTTACAATTATTCTATCTTTTATCACTTATCTTTTATGTCTTATCAAATTCATATATAATATGTTCAATTATATGTTGAGAATAGTGAAGAAGAACTAATAAATAATAATACCAACAGATTTTCTTCTATCGTAAATACAAGATTCTCTGTTTGTTATTCTCTGCGTCGGCAAACACATACTTTGCAATCAGGACTACATTCCCAGATCAGTATTAAGATTAGGTCTGTTTTTTTTTACCTGGCTGCGTTAGTTCAGAGTTCATCTTTTTCACTCCACATTGGAAGAAGAAAGATAAACTATGAACTAGTGTAGCCAGTTCAGGTAAAAAAAAAAAAAAAACCTATTGGATTGCAACTCATCTATCCAATCAGATCTTATTATCGGAGAATCGACGAATAATTAGAGTTAGTTCAACTTATCGCTCGCGTAAGCCGCGTCCACATTGTCCAATCGCATTGATCATGTCTGGTAAATCGACCAATGCGACAGAACTTCGTAAACTCGACCTACGTTCGCTGATTGTCGCGAGCACTAATGCCCAATTTCTTTACCTTTGATAAGTTTTCAATAACTTGATTTAAAAAAGTATATCTTTTTGTATACCTTTATCTAGAAGATAACTATCTGGAGATATGAAGAAATCGAGCCTAAAGTGGAACTTCCTCCAAAAAAGTTTATAAACATTACTTTGTTCTTTTTCATTGAACTAGCTGCATCAGTTCAGAGTTCATTTGTCTCACTCTATAGAGAGAGGCTCTTGAAAACACAACTATACTGCGTTCAATTTGAGAAGAGAAACCGATAGGAAGAAAACTCGTTCGTTTCGCAGATTCGATTTTTCCTACTAGAAAGTCTCTCCAATCCACAGCCATTAGACGTCAACAAGTCGAGACGTTAGCGTGTCGCGCCAATCCACGCGCAACAACGCTATTCCCACTTTATCCGCTTTTCTTCCGCTATGCGCAGTAAAATTTTATTCTCAATAGAAGAAAAGTGGGAAAAGTGAAAATAACGCCGCGGCTGCCGGCCAATCGCTAGAACTTTCTAATAGTAGGTTAAGGTTAGGTTAGGTTAGGTAATAGTAGAGGAGATGCACAGAAAAGGATAAGATTTCGTTCTTTCGTTTTCTTCTCTTCTCTTTGAGAACATTCGGAAAGTGAACACTGGTGAACACCGAACCAAGCGCATCGAGTAGTGAAATACACAAAGGAATTAGATATTTTATTAGTTATACATACATTGTTTTTTAACATTGTATCAGTTTTTGAAGTTAGAAAAATGTCGATGTATAAAACTCAACGCAAACGGAAGCAACCGGTGTGTCTTAATCCAAACGGGCATTTCTGGAGTGAAGGTAATCATTTTACAGTAACATTAACTATATATAATTAATTACATATACAAACGTTTACACAAAAAATCCGTGGAAAATTTTCGATGTGCATCTTGTTTAAAAATCACGATTTGTATGTCCGTAAAAGAATTATTGCATGTGAAAAAGTTGGGATGCGGTCACGTGTAGACCATAGACTTATATAATAGACGGAACATTCGTGTAAGAGGAGCTGAAGCTTCGTTAAAAGAGACAGAAATAGTCGTGGAGTAATTCTCTTCTTTTCTAGCAGTGAGTCGATTGGTGGCCGCGGCAGGCCGAGAGCAACGAAGATAGAGTTCGAGAGTCAGTTGAGAGAAAGTGAAAGGTGATAGCATAGACTTGTGAGATGATTGGTCTTCTACCATCTTATTGTAAGAGAGAGATACAACTACTCCAGCACTATCTTTGTCCTTTAATGTTGTTCTCAACTTCGTCATATAAATGGGTGTGTTTAGACGAAGCTAGCGCTACGTAGCGCTACGTAGCGCTAGCTTCGGCTAAACACACCCAATGTTCCGTCTATTATATAAATCTATGGTGTAGACCGAAAAGATTTATGATAAAAAATATCCAATCGCAAATAAACGAGCAAATTTTTTCGTTTTGTGTGATTTTTGACGTTTCTTTTTTCACGAGTCACGTGGTAAATAATTCTAAGAAACAAAATTACGGCTATCGCACATACAATCGCATAGCTTCATATGCATAGCATACAGACATCTTTTCATGTACGCAGCATGTGCTACGTCAGCAAAACGTAACACGACTCAAATTTTCTAGAGATTCGCGTCGCATGCTCCAACATGCTTCTATTCGCCCCACAATAATATTAAGGTTGCGTTCTCGGGGAACGCGCTATCAGCGCTGTTGCATCATTCTATCTTTATTGCTTATTAGATGTAAAACAAAGATAACGCAATAGCGCTGATAGCGTGCTGCCCGAGAACGCAACATTAATATTATCTTTGTTTCTCTCTTCTAAAATATATTTAATTATATTTAACTTCTGTTTTTAATTTCTATTTCTAATATTTTCTCTATTGTGCTCAGGTCCTGATGCACAATGCGAAAAAATAAAATATAACATATAAATGTATATATAAATAGAAGTTGTATATCATGCAGTCATGTGACATGCTTCCTATATTTTATGTTATATTTTATTTTTTGTCATTGTTATATTACATTTAACTTCTATTTTTAATTCTTATTTCTAACATTTTCTCTATTGTGTTCAGGCCCTTACGCGCATTCCATCCCACTATAAATTTTTGCTCAATGGGACGCCGCCATGGCTGTGTTCCGTAAATACTATACATCATGCGCGCATGTGTCCATCGGTTTTTTGTTCTTTTTAGCCTGTTGCACAGGTCATTTTTTCTCTTTTTCTTTTCATTTTGAAGAGAAAAAGAGAACGGTGCAAAAAATTCAATAGAATAGAGAGGTCTGTAGAATAAAGAGGTTGCCTGGTAACCAATGGCAACCAAAGCGTCGGAGTGGTGGCAACCATATTGTTACGTTACTCAGCGTATCAAACAATACCATTTGCACCTATGAAGCTAGCAATAAATCAATGATTGGTGCTTTGTTTTATATTATATATTTTGATAGTTTAATAGCAATATAGTTGCATATTTCATATAATATTCGAACCATGTAACTCGTATTAATTTAAACGGGCACGCTGAGTGACGTCACTCCCGCATTTTCTGATTGGTCGAGAGTTACCAGGCAAACTGTCTTCTACAGACCTTGCAAAAAGCTACAAAAGAACAGGTCTTACATCTAACCTAACCTAATCTAACCTAATCTAACATTATTTACACGTGGTTATTTGCATGGTGGAATTACTTATTTCACCATGGTTATTTGGATCCCGCTTTTATGCAATTTTAATCAGTACGAATTGAATCGTTCCAGAATGTTTCAAAAACGTTTTCGAAGCAATTTAACTTGTACCAGTCGAAAACACTATTAAACTGTAGATCTTAGACATTTATTAAAATATTGCTGATAAAATATTGTGACCTTCTAATGAATATCTAATGAGATTTTTGTTTTGAAACAGATTCCAATAAACTTGGCCAGAAAATGTTAGAGAAAATGGGTTGGTCAAAAGGAAAAGGACTAGGCATCAATGAACAGGGTATTACTGAAATTATCAATGTTGTACAGAAAAATGATAGAAGTTGTAAGTACATGAACGAAATTGTATTTTTTATACAGCAGTTTTTTGTGACTTAAGCCATTGGGACCAAACTTCTCGTACTTATAGAAAAAATCTTAATTTTTAAAAAAACTGCTGTAAAGATTATATATAATTAGATATGTATCATGCAATCAAAATTGTTTCATTTTTTGTTAAAGGTTTAGGATATTCCAAAAAGCAAGAAACTGATATATTTCAGAACAACTATGACTTATTGTTAAAGTCATTAAATTCTAAGAACAATGAAGAAGATACTTCTTCATTGAGAGGAAGTAAAGAAGATTACTTCGATAAAAAGATGAAAGAACGCGAAAAGAAGTTAAACAAAAGTTCAATCTGCACATCTCACAACATGGATAGTTTGGAAAGTGAGAAGGAACGAGTTGGATTTGGACTTAACAAGAACAAGGAGAATATATTACTTCATAATTTTAGTGAAAAGGGTAATTATGCTTCTGAAGAACCTCTCGTAATAACAATAGATAGTAGTAGCTCTGATAGTGATTCTGATTCTGATTGTCAAATACTGTATCCAATGAAAACAAAGAAGTTCAAAAATGACTCTTTGCATGACACTAATAATATATATAACTATAATGATAATAACACTATTGAAAAATATAGGGCTAGTAAAACATTGAAGAGCGTTGTTGTTGTTACTGAGAGTTGGCAAAAATTTATGAATCAAAGAAAATAATAGTGAATGCTATACAATAGACAGATATCTAATAGAGTACCTGAATTCAGATTTTATCAATATTAAATGTAACATTAGAGAAAAGCTTGTAATAACATTGCTTAAGATAATAGTGATGTAATTAGATCTTAAAATGTTACTTTCCAGGACATGTGATAAATCTTAGATCTAAACATTAATGTAAGGTTTTGCAATATTAAATTTAAGATTATTATTTACTTAAATTAATACTGTTAATTTTTTTATTTTTGACATGTCAGGATAATACAAAAACTGATAGAAAATGTGTACTCTTTTGTATTTTATTTAAATTTAATTTTTTTGACTTTATTCAATACAAAAAAAAATTATCAAGTGCTTATGCAAAATTTATAATATAAACATAATAATAATCTTAATATAAAAACATTTGAATTCATATTGCATTGGACGACTGTTACTTATGGATAATTTCTTAAATAATACTAATAATATTACTATATTAAATAATATTATATATATATATAATAATGTTATATATATATATATATATATAATCCTTATCATAGAAGATATGTACTTTTTTAACTTTTACCATCTAATAAACTTTAACTACAAATAAAGATCGGCAGACAGTCACCTTGTCTTTTGTTCCCTTCCCGACACGTTATCAACACGACACGACCGGCCAACCTCGACACAATGTCTCAATGTTATCCTTGCTTTCACGACACAGCCAAGGACAACAGCGCTCAGTGCAGTTGCTCTCATTGCACTCGACGTGATTCCACCAATTATTAGATGGATCGTATCCTTCACAGGTAAGTTTAACTGCTGCATTAGCGATAATTTTGCCAGAGAATATTGATCAAAAGTCTCTTTTGCAGGATTCCATCGCCTGGCTTCAATCTTCTGCATGGCCTTGTAAAACGGTACGCGTCTCTCAAATATCTTAACTAACTCCCGCTTGAGGTCACCCCACGACTCAATCACTGAGCCGTCTTGCAGCTCGTACCATTGTTTAGCAAACTTCGTTAGTTTACTAGACGCGGCCACCAATATAACGTCATCCGTCGCACCATGTATTTGAGCCACCCTGTCTACACGTCGGATCCACACTTGCACATTCTCGCTGTCCGATCCTCCGAACTCTGGAATCTGCGTCGCAAGCCATTTAGTTGCACTTACACTAGTGAAACCGTCAACACTTCTAACTCCGTTTTCTGTTACAAGTGGTGATCTCTGCTGGACACTTGCCCGTTCCGTCGGCCCTGCTTTCTCGACTCTATTAATTCCAGCCGTCGCTCCGCCACTTATCTCCGATAGCACCTCGTCACGTCTTGTAAGTTGTTGTATGATCTGCGTCATAAATTGTTGTTGTTGTAGCATCAGCTGCTGCTGCATTTGCAGCATTGTCGCTCTGAATACTTCTGCCGTCAACGGCTCTGACGAGCACATGGCTCCGGCCGCTCTAGGTGGTTCGGCTCTGGTTCTTTGTGACGCCTCTTCTTTGACCATATCCGTCGGACCGTGACGCTCCAGGTGTGACATTATCAAATCTATTATTTCAGCTCGATTTCCCGTCACTGGAAGCCCGTAACTACGAGCTTCTTTTTTTAGTTGATCGAGCGTCGCTCTATCTAATGATGCACGATCTATGAGCTGACTCCTGGGCAGAACTTCAGTCGACGACACTTTCTTTATAATTTTTATTAAATAATTGTCACCACGACACTTCCTAAACTTCACTGTATTGTCTCAATGTTCACGGGCTTCAATCCCACTTCTGAAACTGTAAGATTATTATTCTTCTCGACTTTCTCAAAATGTTCGACAAGACAGTTAATAATTTGAAAGGTAAACTACAAATAAAGATCGGCAGACAGTCACCTTGTCTTTTGTTCCCTTCCCGACACGTTATCAACACGACACGACCGGCAACCTTGACACAATGTCTCAATGTTATCCTTGCTTTCACGACACAGCCAAGGACAACAGCGCTCACGCGACTCAACAACGACAATTATGTGTTTCGAACGACAAATAACGGAACAAATCAATCAAACTCACACGCTCGTTCCTTTACCGGCTCAATACAATTTATCACACAGTATAGAATGCGATACAACTCGACTACAGCGATCTACAACGACAACTCGACAATTCGACTATCACGGCTCGACAATCTCTTTTTCGACACAACGACTCGTTTACGTCCCCGTCTGGTTCGCCGGGTTTAACCAGAATCGTTTTTCGCTTGATTTTTCGCCGGCTCAAGCTTCTCGATTTCACGATTCTCGAGCGCTCTCGAAATCACTTGTTTGGTTGGTTTTTGGTGCTCTTTTGGCTCAGTGGACCTACAAAGCTAGTCCATACGCCATTCTACGTCTTTTTTGATGATAGGTTTAAAACCGTGGATTGGGTTCCTGACGCCTAGCCACGGAGTTGTATACTGGTTTAAACTAACAGATAATAACAAAGAAAGTGGTGTAAAACACCGAGAATTGTCCAAAAATATTCGCAGCGTAACTACGCACATTCAACCGGTACGGCTGATGCAACCCAACTTTTGCCTTTATGAACCTAAAAACATAAATCACTTGTTTTTCACGTGATTCCGGCAATCACATGTTCGCGCCAGTCGCAGGTCGGTGCGCCGATCGCGGCCACCCGGTATGTGGCGCCGTCGTAGACCAATGTCCTTACATAAGACTATTAATACTCGGTTTGCGCTTATTTGATAAATCTCACTCTATAAAAAACATTAGGCTGCCTTTACATGCGGCGTAACTTGCGTTAGCCAATCATATCGTCTAAGCGTATTTGCGTATGATAGATGAGACGATATGATTGGCTACTCCAAGTTATGCTTGTTATTCCCATCGTTATTTTCGTTGTTAATTCATTGAAAAATAGTTTACTCTCTACTCCTGCAGCCTTACTACCTTCATTGTAGACTCTAGCTCTATCTAACGCATAAAATACGAGAATCAATCAATCAGGTTCTATATAGAACGAAAAGTGAGAATAGAAATAGAAGGTTGGGAACATATGTAGAAGAACCTCGAACCGTCACTATTGGCGCTATCTCACTTTCAATCATTTCAATCTCACTCTACCGTTGCGACGCCAGAGTTCACCGTGAGAGAGTTCACGGCGTTCACGGTGTTCACACAGCAATCTGCAAATTAGCATGTGTTTAATATCATTTGATGCCATTCATTGACGGAGCGAGTAATAAAATACGTGTTATTGTAAAGAAATTAGACATTTATTATTTGTATATATATATTATTTTTGAGTTAGAAATCAAAGTGAGAAATCATGTCCATGCTCGCTGAGCGCCGACGGAAACATAAGTTGAGTCCTAACCCAAATGGGAAATGGTGGAGTGAAGGTAATCTTGAAACTATATATGATACGATATACGTTTAAAACATTCACCGAAAATTTTCCATTTGCATCTTATTATTTACATGTATGCGAATATAGCTAATCTAACCTAATCTTGATTTACGTGGTGATTCAGAGCTCACTGTACATCCACAGTAGAGTAGAGGTTCGGAAAAGTGTTTTTGTGGCTAATCTCATAAATGAAAATATACTAAAGATTCGAATAAAAAAAAAAAAAAAATACTAGTTTATTATTCCTTGGTTCGTATTGATTTTGATGAATTTATGGTCATTTGATTTTAAAACAAATTCATCAAAATGTATGTGGACTGAGTAAACTTTTTCCTCTCAAAAATACCCAAAAATATTAACATGATATTATCAAAACAGATTCCAATAAATTTGGTCAGAAAATGTTAGAAAAAATGGGCTGGTCAAAAGGAAAAGGACTAGGCATCAATGAACAGGGTATTACTCAACATATCAATATTGTACAGAAAAATGATAGAAGTTGTAAGTACATGAATCAAATTGTATTTTATATACAGCAGAGTTTCTTGTGACTTAAGGTCAAAATTAAGTTCCTTTTATTTTCAAAAACCTAATTTAAAGCAAGAAAAACTGTTGAAAAAGACTATATATAATTAATATGAAGACATTGTGTCATCAAATTGTTTTGTTGTTTTTGTTAAAAAAGGTTTAGGATATAATGAAAATGAAGCATGGACTACATATGAGAAAAAATATAACGATTTATTACAACAACTGGGTAAAAAAATGAATGATAATGTTGAAAATGTTGAAAGCAAGTGTAATAGTTCAAATGAACACTTAGAGGATTTTACATCAAAACAGAGAAACAGGTATATGTAAATGATCAGTTGTTGTATGTATGTCACAATATATAAATTTTTTTATTACAATAAATATACATCCCTTAGTGTGAATATATAATGTGTAATTAAAAAATATATTTTTGTTTTACAGGTATCAAAAAGTTCAAACGTGCAAAGATATAAGTACATATAAATCCAAAGACTTGGCAAATATATTTGGTCAAAAAGAATGGGTCAGTGAGGATCAATCAAAAGTTGAAAAAGATGTCACTAATGACATCAAAGATAGTAACAATGGATTTACGATAAATGGTGGTAGCATGAAGAATTACTTCAAACATAAATTGAGTTGTAAAAGTAATACTAACGATTTAACAATAGATTCTTTGAAAACTAAGTCAAACAAAAGTGAAAAACGTTCAATCTGTACGCCTGATAACGTAGAAGAAAGTGAGGATGAGCAACGAGTTGGATTTGGATTTCCGGTAAACAAAAAGAATGCTGTTAAAGAGAATGTATTATCATTCAATTGCGAAGTATCAAATAATTCTGGTGAAAAGAGTAATTATGCTTTTGATAATCCTTGTTTAACTCTGAATAGTCCTAGTAGCCCTGATACATCCAAAACCAATTTTATAAATAAACAGTCTTCAAAGAAAAGAAAGAAGAAGTGTGAAAATGACTCTTTGCATATTGATGAAAGTGAAAAATGTAGTGCTAAAAAGAAATCGAAGAAAGAAAGCAATAGTAAAGATGGTATTACAAATCTAGGTCTGGATTTAGACGTGAAATCTGAGGAAAGTTGTAATGGCAAAGAATTTGAAGTATCCAGAGCACAGTTCGGCTTAGAAAACCCCGCTTTAGATTTGACAGATGAAGCATGTGCCAAAAAACATGTGACATTTGATAATCGTATCTCAATAGTGGAATACTGTATAAATCCCACAAAAAACTTACGTAAAGTTAAGAGAGCAAAGAACAAAGAATCAGGTCCGCTTGGATTCAAAACAAAGAAAGGATGGACTTGGGTGTCAGCGACAACAATACCATTATCCGGAGTCCCTGAAAACGAGTCGAGTCCGAGCTATGTACTCGAAAAAAAGAAGAAGCGTAAGAAATCAAATAAAGCGTCCAATTTAGAAACGATACAAGAATCGCCAGAACAAGAAAAAGAAATGTCAGAAATTGAAACAAAAGTGGAAGTTAATAATTTGAATGCTAATGTAATTGAAACAAATATTGCGAATAAAAACTCAAAGAAGAAAAAGAAACAGAAAATTATTGAAAATGCTACAACTACAGTTAGTGATGAAAAATCGAATGATATTACAGAAACAAAAGAAGATGAAAACGTTAAACCAGAGAAGCAAAGGAGAGAAGAAGTAGAATCTGTAGAATGTAAAAAGAAGAAAAAGAAGAAAAATAAAAATATTTGTAAAACTGAAACTGAAATAAGCAATAATTCAGAAGATAGTGAGATATTACATAAAATGAGTTTGAAACAGGAAGAAACTGTTTGTCTAAACGAAAACGAAAATGAAAACACAGCAAAAGTTGAAGTATTAGCAGTTACAGGCGAAAAAAAAGAACCATCACAAAATATCAAACCAAAGAAGAAAAAGAAAAAACTTGTCATTGAAGATGAAAAGATTGCAAGTAATACGCATGAAGAAACAGTGACTGATAAAGAAAATACTGGAAAAGAGGAAACTCCGAATGCTAAAAAGTTAGAAAAGAAAAAGAACGACAAGGAGATAAAAGATGTCGAATTTAGTGATACTACTGTGATCAATACGGAACAAAAAACAGAAAATACCGAAGTCAGTGATACATCTTTGAGTTGGAATGAAAACACTATGAATAGCATTGGTAGTTTGTTCAACGTCTGTGAAAAAAGAAGACAAATGTCTAAAAAATTGCTGATAGCGCTTTATCATAACAAAGCAATATTAGATTTTCCTGGTTCTAATATTCGTGCTATAGAAGGATATGGTGTAAACATTTAATAGCTAAAACAAATTGTATAATAATTTTACAATATGGGAACTTTCTTAATTATCATTATTTATAATATTTAAATGTAAAAACTTTATTTGGATTATGTAGAAATTTATATACACATATTAGAAGTGTGCGGGTATCCGAGTCTCGGGTCAAATTCCGACAGGATCCCGAAAGTTTATGCAACATAAAATTTGTTTGGATGTCTGTATTTTCAAGATGAAATTCTTGATTCGAGACCCGATTTCGGACATGATTTTTCTGATTGATCTTACATTTTTAAGTTAGAAAGTGTTTTTACATGTCATCATATAATCAAATGTAAAATCAGTCGAAAAAATCATATCTTAAATCGAATATCAGGTTTTGCAAAAAGAATTTCATCCTGAAAATACGTACCCGAACAAATTTGTGTCGAACAAACTTTCAGGATTTTTAGATATTAGCACATCCCTAAATATATATATACATATGCATGTGTATAATCATTTAATAAAAATATATTAATATATATTGTTGGATATATATTATATACTTTTTTATGTTCTATATGTACATATATAATTTAATATGTATTAATATATATTTATGTATACCCACACATACAATACTTTTATAAATCATGTGAAAAAAGCTTTCATTGTAAGTTGTAAACGCTTCTCAATTTTTATGACAATATATAACATTTATATACAATTTTACTATCTTATGTACATTTTTATAAAACCAACACAAAAAAAGGTTTTTCTTTTTATATTGGTTTAGAGTTCTTTTCAGAATATGTGGCGGACAGTTTCGTAGATTATATTAGATTATCGTATATACAATTGACATCACTTAAGTTTAGAACTTTGTTATGAATCTCAGAAACAAATTTTAAATCTGATTCGTTTAAATTTATTACAGTTTTTGGTACGTACTCTTCTTCTGCAAAAACTACAGAGTAGTGAAGAGATTCTAACAAACTCTTTATCTTGCTCACTAGCTTTGGTTCACATTTAAACTGTAATAAAAAATCAGACATGAATATTATTAAATGTTTATATATATGAAAATTGTTCTTTCTTTTGTACATTACATACCCGAAAGTATTTTACATTATTTTCTTCAAACTCTTCCACATCTTCTGCACCAACAGAAATGGCATCTTCCACAGCTTTATCCAAATCATCTTTCTTTTCAACTATAATAGTACCTACATGATTAAACATTTTTCCAGGAAAAACATTCATGACCTTCCCTCTACAAGATTAAAAAAAAAAAAGTTTATGTTTATACATATATATCTATATGTATAAAACAAAACTTTATCTGTTTTTTCATATACCTAGTCTTTTTTAGTTCTCCATTCAGTTTAGCTGTAAATGACTTTGGATTGTCTGTTGTAAAACTCACAAGCATGATATAACCATTTGGTCCATGAACTTCTAGCAAACCTTTTTCTGTCTTATTACCGGAGAATTCCATTTTTTCGAGAAAAGATTTTATGGAGGCAACCGGCATGTTTGCTTTTTTGGCTCGTTCAATGACCTGTGATAATTTTAGATTTTTATCTGGATCTGTACTGCCACCTACTAAAAACGACACCATTTCTTATTTTGCAATGTTTTAAATATAGTTTATATTTCCAAAATTTTCAAAGTACTTAGGCGTAACAAATTAGATACATCAAGTGACAAACATATACACGTAATCTGCTCTAAGATATATTACAATTATGTTTACATATATTATAATACGTGTTTAAATGTTTATATGCACATATTTTTAATATCTAGCAAATAGTTTCTTTGAGAATTCCACGTAACTTACATTGTATCGCAACTTTCATTTGCGATTTAAGACTCCAAAAGAGCATCATTCTTTCGTTATCATGTTTTTCCTTTGTGTGTTTTATATTCGCCCACTTGCTGTGACCGGCGAATCTTTTACTGTCTTTAGACAAAACAAAGATATGTCTGTTAAAAAGTAATCTATTTAATACTTGTCTCATCTTTTCGTTAGTTTTTTCACTACTTTGTTTTATGCGATGTTGTTAAACCGTCTGTGCGATGTTTGTAGGCAACACGGTCTTCTTCTATTAATTCTCGCTAGTTTTTACGAAAGGTTATGTTCAAGTAAACAAAGCGCAATCGCAAGTTGCCGACGAAGCTGCTTCGTCTTGATTGGCTAACTTCCGATCCGCAATCTCAATCCAATTCATGTCTGCAATACGTAGTGTGACACGGGCTTTATGAAAAAGCAGCATATCGATTGGCTGTATCGCTTCTAGACCGCAAACCGCGCGTCCTCTGTCCGCAGAAGCCCTTAACATAAGCTTAACATAAGCTTTCTGCTGTACTTGTTTGTGTATTTAGCAAGAAATTCGTTTCATTTGTTGTTAAGATAAATTTTTAACAACAAAAATGTCGGCGTGGAGACAAGCGGGATTAAAGTAATAAAATTATTCATTCTCAAAGTTACTTTTCTTATTTTACATTTCTCATTGTGTCAGATATATGAAAATCGTTATGTAACCTGATACTCGTTACTGTTGTATCAAATATACAGTTAAAATTTTACTTTGTCAACTCTTGAGCAATAAAACGTTGTAAATCAAAATTGTGCGTATATACGAATGTAATGTAATTTCATTTTTCTTGTCGCAGTTATATCAACTACTCGCAGATAGCCGCCAGGTTAGTCAGACAAGCTTTGAAAACCGATCTAAGAACAGAAGCTGCTAAACGTGACGAAGTCAACGTGAAATTTACTCAATGGAAAGATGGAAAACCTATCAGTACGTATATTTTGGGATATTGATTCAAATATCTTCAACAAAATCTCAATCTATATACACCTTGTTTTTTTTGTTATATAAAGGTATACAGTTTCACATATATATATATATCTTCAATTATATTTTTATTTATAGTCTTTTTTAGTCTTTATTTTAATTTTTTTACTTATAGTCTTTAGTTATCAATTATATTTATGTACAATCTCTATTTTGTTGCAGCTGAAAAAATGTGATGGTAATAATTTGTAGTAAGTTTGTGTGCTACAAAAAGAATGTGTGTTCTCTTAAAGATGATTTTATTTTCAAATGCTTGTTTTTTTTTTTTTAAAAAAGATGTTCATTTGTTTTTTCTTACTTATATGATTTTGACTATTAATTATCTGTTTTTTAGAGTGTTTGCAAGAAAATTTTAACATTGTGTTTATTGATATGATATATCACAATGACCCTTGTATTGACAGCACATTGACATATTTGTCACATTGAGGGATATTTCAATTTTGATTTATATTAATTAACTTGTTTTATATAAATTTATAATCAATGTCTAATCAATCTCATTTAAAAATACTAAGTAATTCTCAACTTTAGTAATGTTGAAGTATTTATACATGTGTGTGTTTAAAATATGCAATATGACATTTGTTTCTTTATTTCCGAAGTTACATAATGTCGAATGTCTTTTGTTTTTTTTTTTTTTTTTTTTAATTAAATGTTATAAAAATGTAATGATCCAAACGGTTTGCAAAACAATTAACATTTGTCTTTATGCTTGTCATCATTAATAGCATTTCTTAAAATTTATAATTTATAATAACATTGACAAAATGTATATACTTTTGTTACAGAAAATGCTTAGATAATGAGATGTATCACAGATGGATGCAGAAGATTCATCCGATTACAAGTTTATGTATAACGACCATCGCTGTCTTCTTCGTATAAACCAAACTTGTTCTTCGCGAGTTGTTTGTTTTCATTCTTTTGATTTTATCTATCCATAATTAAGTTTTATAACGTCATCTCACAACAGGGTACTGTGTCTTGCAATGTACTGAAAAGGAGAAAATCAGATTTTATTTTGCAAAAATCCCTGTTTTCGTATTATGTTATAAATTAGTGTTACTCACCAATAAATTCTGAAACTAAATCGTTCTCGCTCTCTCCTCGCATAGATCCGGTAATCTCTTCGTTTTCCACCATTGGCAAAAATAATTGCACAAATTCGGCTGTGTACGGAGGAGCTATCGCATCCAACACCTGATTAGATTGTTTCAAATACGTGAGATATATTGTCATCAAAAGAGATTATATCAAATAAATAGTACGTATGTGTAATGAGTATATATACCTCAGTGACGAAATATCTGATGAGAGATACATCTGTATCTCCGCGTTGCCAACATTGCTTAATATAACACACAACAGGTACCACGCAACCTCTGCTTAACAAGTTCACCATTCTGTCGATCAGCATTTTTTTCATTTCCAGCTGATAAAATTAAAAATGTTCATTATAAAAAGGATTTTTAAAGTCTTATATTTTTACTCATTTAAGTGATTTTTCAAAACGCAAAACGTACCTGCACAAGTATTTCCAGTTCGTCTTGCTTGCTTTCGAACAACTGCACCAGCAGTCTCAGTATTTTCGGGTGCAACAGAGGGTGACACGCTACGACCTCGTCCAACAAAGCAAGATGCAAAGGACAGTGTTCCGTACACAATTTGAAATACGACGGTTCTGTCACGGTACATTCCACCCATCGTATAACTCCCACGCTTACAGCAGGAAATCTAGAAACCAAAATCTAAGTAAACCGCTTCTTTTAGGGAAAGAAATGCATAAAAAAGTTAAAAATCATACCGTATGCTCTGATAGAGAGTTTGTAATTCTGCTATTAGCTCGGTAGATCCTTTGTTTAAGTTACATATGTTGTGCACCTTCTCGATCGCTTGTATCGTTATTTTCAATTCGTCCTTATTGATCTTGCGCGTATTACCTTTCTTAGGAGCTACTTCACACACACTTGCGGCATAAGCTAATAGATATATGTATTTTGATTTGTGTTCCGGATTTATCTTCACACCAGGCTTAAAAAGTGCGTCAACCAGTAATTCTGTGAAGAAAATATTTATATAAGGTTCTCCCACACTCTTCTATTGTGTATATGTAATTGTTTTATTACTTAGTATATGATTGATTTACCTAAAAATTGAGGATTACGCAACAGCTCGATAGGCGGTGGTTCTGGCGCAGAGTAATTTCTATATAATACGGTAATGTCAGCGGGATTTAAAGTATTTCTCGATAACATAGATGCCAGTGCCTGACAAGCCGCAGGACTACTGGAAGCACCGTTCAAGGCCATTGTTATTGGGGTAACATCGTGTCGATTCTGTTGAGCGCACTTGGTGATTTCCTGAGAAAGTCTTTTCATCATAAACCCACCGCGAGGTTCCTGCGCAAGGATCTGCAACAGGACTTGGCTGTACACGTAGGTGTGCTGACCGTGACACACCATTTTGGCACACTCTTGTATACTTGATTGCGAGTTTTCTGTATTTTGAAGAAATCCAGCAATTGCGGTTTTTAACACACGTGAGAAAACTTCTATCTGTTGCGCCGCCGTTGAAATACTCGTGATTTCACCTTGAAACCCGGCGTCCGATATGAGTTTAATAGTGAAATTTAACATGAGGCAATCTGGAAACTCTTCCGCGAGCCTATAAATTAGCGATCGCCATGTCGGGTGTTGTATCATTTCTGTCAACCAGGAAGGCGTCTCACCCTCTTCCGTGAAAATCTTATCCGCTTTCTTAGGATCAAAAGTCTTGAGAATCATGTCCTTCAAATTGTTTTCCACCATTGCCTGCACATCAGTGACCTTTACTCCGGCAATGATCAGCCATTCTGCCAAATAATTTGCCATTTGTGCGCAAGCTGTATAATTCTTTGATAACAATTCTATAACTTGTTCCGGATTTCCTCCCGCTTGAAAATATCTTTTTAGTTCCACAAAGATTCCAGGCTCCATTATGTAGTCTGGTGTTTTAAACTTATCCAGACATTCATTCAATACTTCTTCGGGATTCTCAAAAGTATCTTCTCCGCTACATTCATCGGTGCTCCGATTCATCTCATCTCCCCATCCACTTCGATCCTCATTGTAATCGGACTCCATCTAGGTGTGAAAAACAATTAGCTATAATTGTTAATCTTGTGTAAAAGTTTTATTCAACTTAGGTTTTTAACACAAAATATATATCAAGATTTTTAAAGAAGATACACGTATAGGTAGTAACTTCTAACGTTATGCTACATGTTATGTTATTTTTACATTTAATCGACAACAATAATGGCAGAGACAAATGCTGATGAGAAGGAAACAACAAAACTTGAAACTGGCACTTGTAATAATATATACTACTTTGCTGAATTACTTGAGCAGAGTAAAATAAATTAAAACTACATGTATTTTTGTCTGCAATTTATAAATATATATGTATTCGAAGTAATGAATAATTAAAACTTTCTAACAATTTTCGGTAATTTCAAGTCTAACAATCTTCTTCACTGCGTTTTGGGCAAAAAGTTTTACTCGCGTGCGGACACTTTTCGCGGCAAAAAGATCAATTCGTATTTGCACGTGGACCGCAATCAAAAACGTATTTTTTTACACGTGCCGGCACCAATATGTCGGAAAATACTCTGAAAAATTGAGAGTATTCAAAACAATAGCTCGAAAACATGTTTCAGAAGAGTCAGCGTTCTTTTATATTTAACGTGGCGTTACGTAGAAAAAAAAATTATTTCTAAAACGTAAAATATAAACCATACCGCAAAACAATGATGTTGAATCACATCGAAATGCCGATGCTAATGAATTAACAAACACATATTTTTCACTCACCTCCTCGCAATCAACAGGAACGGAAATGCCAACGCACGCGTGCACACTAAATGTTTGCTTGCTCAAGTATGTACGCAGATGCAATATCGCATCGTTTGTTTGAAGAACAAGAGGGGAGAGAAATCGATTGGTGGTTATGGAAAAATCGATTATCGCATATATCGACGTGTAAGTCTGTACACAATCGATAATTGTTTAGTTTTGACGTTACTGTGAATTCTCATTGGACAGCGAAACTGGTTTCCCTAGAAATTTCGGACAAAAGATTTTATTCTCGCGGAATTGACCAATCCCCATTGATTCAATTCGACCGATCGACCAATGTGACGATTTGTATACGAGAAAGTAATTTATATAACATACACCCCCTGTAAAACCACAGAAAGAAAAAGAGAAAGGGAAAAGAGAGAGGTAACGTAATGTGAGATTTTACGAGTTTGATATATGTATGTGAGATCCTACACATATGTATAGCCTAACTTTCAAAAATTCGCAAATGTGAACGTCATAAATATTTCACATGCAACTGGTAAGTAAAGGAAATAAATTATTATTATTCTTGTTTATATATTTGTGCCGTAATAATATTCGATTCGATCAGATGTGTTTTTCGCATATATAACTTTGAAGTTTAATCTCGTGACATGTCATTTCGGAAGTCCAAAGTGCATCGAATGAGCCAATATCATGTGCTGTCACCGTTCAAGGTGCATGACCGTTATATCGCAAAAGTAATTTTTTTTTTTTCTTGTAAAGAGGAAAACATGAGCGAAGAGGAGGTTAAAGTTCAGTTTGTAAGTTCGTCGATATAACACAACAATTCTCGGCATATGTATTTATCGCGTCTTACATAATAATAAGATGTATATTAAGTCTCGCTAGAGCTAGAAGGTTATTTATGTGTTTTTCAACGAGAGTGAACTTGTAACGGTACATATATATATATATATATATATATATATATATATATATATATTTCGACTAGATAAATTGTAAAAACTAACGAAAGCGTATTGTCGTCATCTACACAATAGCGGATCTTATCTTTCAAACAATTACTCTGATCTCAATATGTGTATCTCTTTGTACGCTTAATCTATATATATTTCGAAACAGTCAGTTTTTTACACTATACGTTAACTTGTACATTAACTTCTTCGTTATTTCTTCATATTATATAGTGCTGTGTAATTTCTCTTTGTGATATTACATTTATTTTTGTTCTTTTTTTGTTTTAATCTTTTGAGTGCTATAAACACATATGCGTGTCCACCAAATGCTATTGCTGTCAACTATGAACTATATATATATTTGTGACAAATTGGTTTTGCTTAAACTCTTGATATAAAGTTTTACATACTAAAAACTCAGATATTGTAAACAATGTGTTATTAGCAAGCATTTGTTTTTGACTCTGCTTGGTACTCAAAAGATTAAATATGTTTTAATCTATAAAATTATATTTTTGATTAAAACGATAATACAAAATATATAATAAATATAAAACATGTTAATACACTTTCCTTATTGAAAGAAATGATATTTACATAGTTGCAGTTAATTAAATTTTAAACCATGTCGCGATATGATGATGTTATTCTGGAAGCTAAGGAAAAAGAAGAGATTTTGCCAGAAGTATTGGGAGGAATACGACATCGTATTCCATGGAGCGATCGTGAATTGCTAACTAGTGAAATACCTGGTTTACATGAAGTTAAAGAATTATTAGAGGATGATGATGTCAGTGTTTTGGCAGAGGAAGAAGATGGAGTGGGATGTCCTCTGCCTTCAACTCCAGAAGATGATCATCTATTGGATTGTGAGGTACTTGTTGCTTTAATATTAACACGCAATCGCCATTGCTTATCATTCTGAATCTCTATTGTTAAAATTCTAGATGACAGAAGTGTTAAAGGCTGGTGTTCTGAGTGATGAAATAGATCTAAGTGCACTAGCTCATAACGCAGCAGAGCAGGCAGAGGAGTTTGTACGAAAGGTAAAAGAAATCAAATTATCACGGCAGAAGAATATTTTGTCAGTTTGGATTTAAAGCTAAATAAATTTTACTTGCAGGTATGGGAGGCATCGTGGAAACAATGTCATTTTCGAAACCTGCCAAGATGGTTGCAAGACAATGATTTCTTACATGCTGGCCATAGACCACCACTTCCCTCATTTTATATGTGCTTTAAAAGTATTTTTCGAATTCATACAGAAACTGGCAATATTTGGACACATTTGTTAGGTACGTTTCCTCTTGAAAAAAAAAAAAAAAGGGAGATCACACATCAATGTGTGTCGTTTTAACCGTATTTTCTTACTTTGGATCATATAAAGTTATTCATACAAATGTTTTGTTTTTTTACAGGCTGTGTTGCCTTTATTGGTATAGCTATATTTTTTCTAACACAATCTCCTGTAGGAATTCAATTGGAAGAAAAATTGGTATTTGGTATCTTCTTTGCTGGTGCTATACTTTGCCTAGGAATGTCATTTGCCTTTCACACAGTTCATTGCCACAGCGAATGTGTTGGAAAGTTATTTTCAAAATTAGATTATTGTGGCATAGCTATGCTTATTATGGGTAGTTTTGTACCGTGGCTTTATTATGGATTTTATTGTGACTATCAACCGAAACTAATTTATTTGTCGGTGGTTGTTGTTCTTGGCATAACCAGTATTGTAGTTTCTCTTTGGGAGCGATTTGGCGAACCAAATTATCGTCCACTTAGAGCTGGAGTTTTTATGGGATTTGGACTTAGTGGAGTAAGTTATTTTTACTTACATTTGTCATTTATAACACAACTCTGAGAATTCATGTTTAAGTAAAGTCCTCGTATGATTTTAAATTTAGGTAATACCAGCAGTACATTATGCTGTTGCCGAAGGGTGGTTTAAGGCAATTAGTCAAGCATCTCTCGGATGGTTAATATTAATGGGATGTTTGTATATATTGGGTGCACTGTTTTATGCTTTAAGAGTACCTGAACGGTTTTTCCCAGGAAAATTTGATATTTGGGTAAGTTTTGTACTAAAAATGTCAGAAACTTTGCAAGAAAGTCAATTATCAGTCTGCTGATTATATTGCGTTTGAATTTAGTTCCAGAGCCACCAAATCTTCCATGTGTTGGTAATTGCAGCAGCTTTTGTTCATTACCACGGTATTACAGAAATGGCGATGCATAGAATGACAATAGGCGACTGTACAAATCCGTCGCAGGTGTTAGCTTTTTAAACGTACCTTTTATCTTGTTACTCCATAATTTTCATGTCATTAATTTATATAAAGAAAAAAAAGACTACGAAAAGAAGATATCCAAAATCTCATCAGTAGAAATTTGCTGTTGAAACATGTTAAAAACGGAACAAGAAATCATGTAAAAAAAAAGGATGTAATGGATACATATACTTAATACTAAATTTGTGTTTGAATATAGTTTAGAATACGTTGCTTGTTTACTTTGTTGTTTAGTTTTCTTATTAGTTTTAAAGATAAAATTTATTTTTGAATTACATACAATTGTACACAATCGAAAGATAAGTATTTATTGAAGATTTATTTAAGATTTAGGATTTGTGTATCTGAAAGATAAATTTGGTTTTCTTTTTCTTTTTCCTGAGAGAAAAACAAAAAAAGAGAGCCTTCATTTAAATTTATATCTCCAACTTTTTTATTACATCTAACAGAGTCTTTATCTGTATTTCCTTGTGTAACCTAATTTCTAAATCTTCCAGTGCCGCTCCACCTTGCATAAACTCTGTTAGATTGTGTAATGTTCCATTTTGTAATCTGTGATCGGTTACACGATCCTGATTATAATTGTAAGTTCTAATCTTCTCATTCCTCAATCCCATTCCCATCTGCTCCCGTCTTTGTTTGCTGATGACCGATGTCTGCTGATTTAATTGCTGTTGGTACAGTACACTCCTCAGTTTTGTCATTGCCGTTTCTTTATTTTTGATCTGTGATCTGTGTATCTGACAGGTCACCACCTGTCCGCTCGGTACATGAGTTATTCTTATTGCCGAATCTGTGGTATTTACATGCTGACCACCCGCACCGGATGCTCTTTTCGTTTCTATCCTCAAATCTTTTGGATTGATTGCGATTTCCACTTCTGACGGCGCCGGTAATACAGCCACCGTGGCAGTGCTGGTGTGCATTCGTCCAGACCTTTCTGTAGCTGGCACTCGCTGCACTCGGTGTACACCACCTTCGTGTCTAAATTTAAAAGCTTGATCACCAGATACCATAATGGTAGCATGTCTAATACCATTGTTATCAGTTGTTTCTAAATCAATTACATCGTGATTTAAACCTAAATACTTAGCGTAATTTATATACATATTGTACAAGTCTTTAACAAATAACATTGCTTCTTGACCACCAACACCTGCTGTTATTTCAATCAGAATGCTGTTGCAGGGTTCTTTGCAAATATAAGTCAACATCACGTTTAACAATTTCTCATCAAGTTCTTTTAATTGTTCCTTATACAAATTTTCTTCTTCTGTTGCCAATTTCTTCATCTCTGTGTCTTCTTTTGCTGAGAAAACAATTTATTATCGTTTATTAGAAATTATACAGAATTGAGATTGATAAAAATTTGTGTGTGCAGAGATATTGAGAAACTGAAGAAAGCTATTTAATTCTATCTTCTAAAATACAAATTATTTTACAACTTACAAGAGTTTTACTGGTTTAAACGTACATACAAACTCTCTCTAGTTACCTAGTTCTTGTAAATCCCGAATATTTTCTACAAGTTGCACTCTTTTACTTAACAAGTTGCTAGAGGCACTCAAATCAATCAATCCGAGATCATTAATATTTTCCCAGGATCCACTTTTGTATTCATTTCCGAGATAATCTAAGCATCTTCTAACTTTGTCATTTAAAATTTGTGGGCTTGCGTGCGTGCCGCATAAATGTCTTGTAAGTTTTAGTCTAGTTGCTGATGAGACATGTAATTCGTGAATTCTCGATAAATTTACAAAATCTCCGCATTTCCAATACTTATTAAATCTACATTTTCGTATTAACAGAGACATGTTCTTCAATGACATTCTCTTTCACATGCTCCATAATGAAAATTTAGTGTTTACAGAGAGAAGCCTGAGAGCGGTCAGGTCCATAAGAGAAAGTGTAATCACTTTTTCGTCCCGTAAACTAGCGCATGTCCACGGATGATACACATTGGAACTACGCACCCAGTCCACGAGCGACATGTCGGTGCGCTATGTCCACAGCGTGCGGTTCTATTCTGTGCTATGTGCACGCGTCCAAATGGTCACCTTCTTCAGGCGTGTGAGTATATTCGAGAGCGTGGATTTGATTTCTTTTGAAATTAAAACTGATCGGTCTCGTGATAA